GCAACATAGTCCGGACGCATAAATGCAAATTGCCGAAGATATATCATTAATATGATATCTCATTATAATTAAATGTTTTTTTTTTCATAAAATGAGAATGAAGTGTCTTAAATAGGAAAAGTTGTTTTGGGGGAATACCATTGAAAATGGGGGATTTTTGCAGGAGTTTTGGTGGAATTAGCCTTAAACAGTTGGCATCCCTGATGGGTGGCTTCACTAATTATTTTATTGCTTTGCAATTACATGAATAAAAACGTAACGGAATAATAATATGTATATGTAAGTATGTATTAGGTACTTAATTGCATATTAAAAACGCGATGGAAAATGAACTTAAAGGGACCCCGTTGAAATCATTATCACTAAAGGGCATCGGATGTTGTTTGAATATCGCTATCGTTGCCTCATCGCTGTCAATTGCATTTGCCTTCTTTTCTTCTGCATTCATTTCGAGCTATAAAAGTCGCAAATCCGTAAATACGGCACAGCAGTTGCTCCATTTGATTCACTGAGTGCATAACAGAGTATTATGAAGTACTTCATCGCTTTCCTTTCTTTGATTGTTGTGGTGAGTATCAAAATAATAATCCATGTGTGAATAAGTTATGTATTTACTTATGTATGTATGTTTTTATAAAAAAATCTGCTTCCATTACCAGGTGTTGGCCCATCACGATAATTCCGAACATCACGCCGACTATGTGGTTAAGAGTAAGGAGGATCTTGCACATGCCCGCGATCATTGTGTTTCAAAGTTGACCATAGCAGATGATCTCGTTGAGAAATACAAAAAGTGGGAGTATCCAGATGATGAGAAAACTCATTGTTATTTGAAGTGTATTTTCGAGGAATTAGGACTCTATGATGATGAGAAGGGATTTGATGTTCATAAGGTGCATCATCAAGTAGCTGGAGACAAGGTTGACCACTCTGATGACTTGCATAAAACAATTGAAAATTGCGCAAAAGAAGGTGCTGATTCCGATGACTCGTGTGTTCGGGCATATCGTGGTGGCATGTGTTTAATTAATAATAATTTAACATTGGTAAAGCAAAGCTTTGTATCGGATTGAAATGGACAGACATACATACATAAAAATGAAGTAAGGCATTTGGAATATTAAAACAAATTCAGTGCATTTTTCTTTACATTTCGATATTTCATTAGGCGGTATGCATATATTTTTAGAATCGATCTGGCAAATTTCGGTCAATGACTACCTTTGCTGATTAATAATAATAATAATAATAATAGATTGGCGCTTACACATATGTTAGTGTTTGGCCGAGCTTCTCCTCCGATTTGTGGTGTGCGCCTTGATGTTGTCACACAAAGGGGAGGGACCTACAGTTTTACGCCGACTCTGAACGGCGATTGTATTATTATGAGAAGCTGTTTTTCATGGCAGAAATACACTCGGAGGTTTGCCATTGCCTGCCGAGGGACGACCGCTGTGAAGAAAAAACCCTTTTTCTCTATTTTTTGCGATGTTGCTTTGACCGGAGCTTGAACCCAGGTGCTGATGAGTGAAAGCGCGCACTGCTTACCACTACACCACAGCGGCGGACAACCTTTGCTGATTGCTGTGGCAAAATTTTCCAAAACTTTATCGTGAACTAAGGGGGGGAGGGGGGGCCAATATACTTCCTCCTTTTAGGTTTGGCTGATTTATCAGGAATATATGTACATATTTACATACAGTAGAATCGCGGTAAAGTTAACTCGCGCAAAATTTTATCGCTCGGCTAAGTTAACCGAATTTCAGCATTCACATAACGCCCTAAAAAGCTAACTTTATGGTTAACCTTTCTGGGCTTATAAATTTATCGAACCAACTATTTGTTTGACAACGAAAACAAGTCGGAGCTGAATTTGTTTACGGGTATTCCTTGAATTTCCTTTCGTTGTGAGCGTTTGCTTTTGTGAGTTGTGTATTGTTTGTGTGTTTAAAAAATGTCAACAAAGCAGAAAAATTCATTTCAAGTCGGATTAAGTCTACACCAAAAAGTTGAGATTGAAAAAAAAAAATGATCGAGGTATTTACGACAATCGATAGGCATCTAAAGCAGGAATTTCAAGAATAACGAAAAAAAGTCATGACATTTTTGGGCAGTGGCAAGCATCGATGCATCGGAGAAAAGACCATCGAGGCTAAAATACATCGCCAGAGAAACATCGATATATCGATGGTTTCCGATGTTTTGCAATTTGTTAATTTCTAGTTAAATTTAAAACAATATTGAATACTTTAATAATTATGAATGTATGTATTTTCCTGTATTTTATTATCCTTTCTATACCCTTTCTATTATTAGAATCAAAATGCATACCATCGTAAGTTCGTTCGGGCCTAAAGATCCTAGGCCTGATCTTGTTGAAATTCTAAGGGGTGTTTGGTTATGTTTTAACGGCTAGGTTATTATTCAGAATTAATCCAACAATTTTATTGAGCTAGGGGCCGCTTTTTATGAAAAATGTTGTGGAAAAGCAACAATAATTTACAAAGGTAAGAAATTATAGCTGTTGTTTGGGAGATCACCACATCTACTAATCACAACCGCGGTCACTGAGGAGAAGTGGTGATCTCCGAAAGAGCAAATTAGTAAATTTTGTTGATTTTCAATAACATTTTTCATAAAAAACGGCTGAATATAATTGTTATAAGGCCATAACAAAAATATTCTGAGTAATAAATTTAAGGTCAGTCAAACACACCGAAAGAAAGTCGGAGAGTCTCCTTAAAGTCGATGTTTAAAATATCGGTAAAACTTCCATCGATGTATCGTCAATTTCGCGATGTTAGTAAATTGTAAACACCGATGGCAAACATCGATAATTGAACCGATATTATCGATGTTTCAAAAACATCGATGCATCGTTTGCATCCCTAATGAAGAAGTGAACAAGAAAGCTCTCCAGAATATGCTGGTACCAACTAAATCCAATTTTCGTTTTCGTAATGATGAAAACTAAGTGATTGAAATAAATTTAGCGTGCTATTTCCCAAAAACTCTGTGGTTGTTCAAACTTGACTGGTTATCAGGATATCAGGTTATCTGGTTATGTGGTTATATTTTTGATTCAGTATACAACAATAGAATACACTACAGAATCATGGTGAAATAATAATAAGGTGTTGTCACTTAGGGGGTGGTTGTTGTAATTTTGGCAATTTCGGCATACCAGCATTACAGTAATGCCTACTCTATTCATTCCAATTTCATTTCTGGGCAAAATTGAACTAAAATGGAGCAGACAATTTTGTAAAAAAAGTATGCTTAGGTATCCTTTACTACGTTTATACGCACGTATTATTTGCAAATAACAATTTGCAAAATGGTAAACTTTGCCGTATAAACGCTGAGTTAATTTTTTATTTGCAAATAACTAAATCACGCAAATAAGTATTGATTAGTGGTACTATTTGCAAATAAGCGCAATACGCCGCCATTCTTAGGTTTATTTTCTTTTCCGATGGGGCTTTTAATAATCAAGACCAAGATCATATTTAACTTTATTTACTTTTTCGAAGGTCATATTACCTTTTTATAATCAGGCAATATTAAAAAAGAATTTTTCACCATCAAATAAACAGTGAGTTAGGTATTTGCAAATTATTTTTATTTGCAAATAGCTTACGTATAAACGTAGTAACTGTTTCTTTGTTTCGCTTTTGCTTTGACTTTTCGTTTCAAAGTCATTGGAAAATTTGAGCGATAATTTCCAATAATTGTGATTTTGTAAGTAAATTTTTAGAAAAATATATACTACTAGTGAAGTCGCATGGCGTTAAAACACCAACATTGAATTTAACTTTTTAAACAGGTTGAAACACTATTTAAAACCCCAAAAAAGACATTTCTGAGCGAAGACCCATGGTGTCGGTTTTTCGTTTTATAAAAAAAAAATAAAATAAAATAAAAAAAAACTTAAGGAAAAAATACAAATAAAATTCCATACGGGCTAAAATGTAATTTTTAGTAGAACTTAGGAATAATTAAATAAAGAGAACGGTATAATTTAATTTGTTTTAATATATTTAAATGAAAGACGGAAAATAGTCCTTATTTTTTAAGTTTATACCATCATTATATGTGTGTGGTACGACCGTGTGGCCTTTAAGTTTTACAAATAATAATTTTGAGTTAGAAAAATATAAATGAATCATAATTATTAAAATCAATATATTCGATCGAAGAAATAAAAATTAAATTATAATATTTTCTTTTGAGCGAAAAAATTAAACTGTAATTACACTGGTTTACAGAAAAATATTTTATTGATCATTCATTTAACTGGTGTGGGGTCCACTGATATATGCATGTATTGGAAATAGTACCCAAAAAGTAGTAAAAATAATCCTTTTTCTACTACCCCAAAATGCATGGCCGCAATTGCCATGCAGAAAAAGTGAGGTTATGTAAGTGACATCACCTTATATTTATTTCACCATGCTACTGAATAATTTTTAACCAAAAAGCTTGTTAACCTGGCAAGTGTGAATAAACCCTCTATGTTTATTATTCTATTTTTTAATTTTAAAAACCGCTTAAAAAAGTTAATAATTAGAAAAAGTTGATTACACTTGGGACATTTCGGTTAACTTTTCCGAGATTCTGTTGTATATAGATACATTTATATGCAAATTCCGACAACGCATCTGACGGCTCTTGTTTATTTACAGATAATTTTCTTGTAATGTATGTATTTGATTAAAGTGTTTGTCAACTTTGTTTAAAGCTTTCAAAATACGACTGACCGTTAGACATATTTTTGTGGCAACCTCGGAAGGATTTGCTTTCTCAAACAGTTGAAACACATAACGCCCTTATTTAAATTCTGGTGCTTCAGCAAATTTAGATACAAAATGTTAGTAAATTTAGCAGTATAGTGGTCTGATTATGCATATTTCGTATAACTTCGCACAACGTCCATAAACTTTTAACTGTAACTTCATATTTAATTCGCATGTATTTTGTGTGTATTCCATTACCCATAAATTAACAGAACTTGTAAAAACTTAGCGCTCTGTTGAGTTTAGATTTTGCTTCACATTTTCTTATACAGAGAAAATGACACAGTTAAAACGCAAGTTTTTAAAAGAAATTGTAGAATAAAATTTTTTAATATAATTCTACTTCATAAAAAATAAAAAATACAGTATTTGTATTTACGCATTTAAAACGAAACATTCGCAAAACCAAAACGATCGTTATAATATATTTACTTTTTTTACTGAGGAGAACAAACGACATTAAAAAAATAGCGCCAAAAATGCGTATCTTCAAAACTAAAATAAAACATTTTAGAATATTGTCCCAACAAGTTGTAGTGGGACACAATTTTCAACAAGTAAAATAAAACTAGACATTTTAAAATAAAAAAGGTTAATTTATTTTCAGTCAATTAAGTATGAAAAATATTTAAAACTAAAATGTTTTGCATTGGAATTTAAAAAGCTACCTAGCTATAATGAAAAACTTTCATATGTATGTTTGCATCATTTGTCGGAAAAATTGTGTTCAGAAAAATAAGTTACTTCAATCTTCAGAAAAGGCGATGATGTACATACAAACAATACTGCCATTCTAACCCTTAACTACATATAAGGGCCATTGGTGGACTTATTTGACCGAAAAAAGCTTTGGTAAGAGTAACTTACAAAAACAAATTCTTATGGGTTATTACATAATAATTTAAAACTTTCTTAACTGAAATTACAGGATTTGATCAACGTGAAGCAAAAGGCAAGAACATCTGTATGTTTGTATTTATGTATGTATAATATATGTAAAACATCTGTATTTAATTTATTAAATGTTGTAACTTATTTCAGTTAAGTATACATGTATATGTACGGTGACCATCCGTCCTGTATTATACGGGACAGTCCTCTTTTTTGACCAATTGTCTTGGTAATTTCTTTATTTTATACGGGACGCCAAATGTTCTGTATTCCTTTTCACGTCCTGTATTTGTCCCATATTCAGTGTTCGGCATTTCGATGCCTTAACAACCCATTAAAATGGCATGTCTATGAAACAGTTTTAAGTGATGTTGGAATATGATTGTAATTTTCTCCATAAATAGTTATTAGTTTCTAATCTGAATGCCTGTGATTCGAATAGA